GAGCATGATTTTAAATGTTGACTCTCTAATATAGAGAGCATCTCATGTTTAAAGAGTCTTTTGAAGATGCTCTAATCCTATACATTCATCTCGTAGCAGCAGTGTGTTGTGGGGTGGGGTGAGTGTGTCTTCTACAATAGAGGGGAAAAGAGAGAGAGAAAGAGAGAGAGAGAGAGGCAGCCATCTATGGTGGGTTTGAGATTCAACAATTGCTCCCTTTGTGATATTGTAGTCATCACCATAATTCTTTGTGAGATAAAAACTTGAAGCAACCAAAATGATAGTTGAAGTTGAGTCGAGCTCGATTGGTGTTTGTTTGGTGAGTAAACTGAGTCCGGAATCAAAATTTCTTAAGGGATTTCTGTAATAATAATAAACAAGTGATTTATCCAAACAAGATTGTTATTTTGAATTCTTCCAAGTTTGTAAGGTGATATGAGTAACTATTTTCTTGTTTTAATGTGTACAATATCTCATAGTTAAGTCTTAAAAGCAAAACGCAATAATTTTCAAGAAGAGCTCTATTCAGATTTTGATTAATCTCTCTATCTTATAGTAAATATATTGTCTCAGTTGAATCTCTTTCGAGTAATGTGTCTCTCTTCATCCTTAATGAGTGATAGCCTATGAACATATCCCAAATTTGGCCCTTATGCTCGATGCATGTCCAATATTCCCCATAAAATTTGTCATCCCTTGCCCTTGGTCATCCCTAATCCTACATCCAATTCTTGTTGAACTCAAGTTTTCTTTGGAGCATCCATATGTATTGAGTTTGATTTTACTTAAAGGGAGGAAAAAGCTAATTGATTATTTTACTTCTTTGATAAATGAAATCATATGGTCCATTGAGAAAGCATGATGTATGCCCCGAGCCAACTTCTATATATGCCTTATATGATTGAGGTGGTTGAAGGGATTATACTCCGAAACTTTCTAAATTTCTACTTTTCCACATTATCGACGTAATGTTAAAAAAAAAAAAGGAGTTCCATGAACTAATGATGGCATTCTCTTTTTGGCTAAAGTTTTTTTAAGACAACTCCTCATGGTATGATTCAAGGACTTGCTCATGGAATCTTTCAGCATGAGTCCATAACTTGTTATGTCGGCATAAACAAATAAAATTTCTAATTTTGTGGGGAAGTTCAAGTTTTCAAATGCAAGTCCATTTTCTAGTATCAAACTATGATCTGCCCTTGTTTGAAAATGTGTGGTTAAAGTGTAATGTAAAAGTTTTCGATTTACGTGTAAAATTATTTTATTGAAAAATGTATGATTGTAAATGAGTTCTGAAAATGAGTTTTTGACAAAATGGGTATCAAACAATATCAAATAATTTCTCTAAAATAGTACTATAGGAACGTTCTCTAAATTTTCCATTTTTATTACCACATGTCCTTTATCACTACGGGTGTGACTTGGATCAGATAGTTAGATTCAATTTGAAATGAAAGTGAAATGTAGTGAGTTCTCTCGAATCATGTATACTCTACAGAAAAAAAAAATCATTTTTTTACAAAATTTATTCTAAAAAAGTGGGGCTCGAATAGGGCCTCAATTTACATGTCATAAACACCGTCGAATCAAATCTCAACAAAGAAAAGAAAGAATAATTTTATTTATTTTTTTGAAATAAATGTGAAATAGAGAGGAAGAAGGTTAGATCTCAATTCTTAATTCTACCTCCTCCTCCTCAGTCAATATGTTGGGAATATATTCAACAGTGAAGAGTTGAATCAGAGAATGAATGGGATGAAAATGGAAGTAGTACACTGCATTTGCAGTTGCATTACACGCCCACAACCCCAGTCACTTCACTGTCACTTGTAATAAATTTTTCTAAGAGGTACCAAATATGTCTCCATGACACGTGATCCTAGTGGTCAGGTAACATGATTTGTTCACGAATAATGAAAAAAGGCCAGCAAGGATTGAGATATAGAGACATTGTTACCATGTACTCTCCCCTACTCCAACATGGGATTGTCCAGTCTTATCTCTTCTCTGTTTTCGATAAAAAATAATAAAATATGTGATTGAAAAATTGTTACTCATGATTGAAAATAAGTTTAGAGAAAAATAAATTTTAAAAAATTGAAGCTAAACATGGACCGTATTTTCATCTCTTTAAGTTGAACTTTGGCAATTTTTTTTATTAAATGATAAATTGCGAACCTTGCGAAATGTGTAAATAAGTAGGTAAAATTGTGGATGATACGGAATGTGTGAATAAAAAAAGTTTGATTAGCTTATAAATAATTAAGGTTTGCCAAACATGCACTTCAATAGATTTTTTTCTCGATTCGAACCCATTTTTTGTAAATAGAAAACAAATGATGGCACGACTTGTATTAAAGGCTCTGTTTTGATACCATATTGAACCATCTTATCTATGTGCAAATCCCAACCGAAACTAAGATTATTCTTCTTTGCTTTGCAAGAAAGGATAGTTTCGTGTTGATTACGTTTATTATGCTTAAAGTACATGCATGCAAGTCTTTTAAACTTGTTTTATGGCTTTTGTCCATCATTTGGGATGTGTCTATCGTGCTTCGATGATGAAGTGAATTAGTCAGAGAAGAGAATTATGATAAAAGAATAGAGCATTATCATGCGCGAATAACTTTCTCAACATAAATCTCGAGAATTTTCTTGTTTCATTGTAGTAAAGAATTTATCGCCGACCATTAGAATTTCTGCTCTTGGATTGCTACAGAAAAAAGTTGCCCACTAGAAAAATGTCACTCTCAACACCCCTTTTGGGGTTGCTACATTCTTGGGTCTGTTTCAAATCAATAGGCCACATTCATGAATTGAGGCATCTCTTTTACCAGACAAAGGCAGTGAAATGTAAAGGAAAAAGTTAATTTCTCTTGGATAGAATTCAAGTACCCTAAGAGACCAACAGATATAGGCATCATCATTTTGTGTTTCTTCGAAAATTAGCAAACACTTCAAAACACCCAAAACATATCTTGATAGTACACTACATTTCATTGTCTTTCATTCGTGTCATGCACACTTTTAGCGAGAAGTTAATAAATTAGTCTCAAGACTGAATCTTGGATAATTTCAGGTATTAATACTCTTAAATAACAAAAAATATTACATTTACGGTGAGCTTTTTCATTACTTGTATAATTAGATATGACTATAGCATCATCGTATTGTGGTAGATAGCATCACTCCATCTAGCAAGATGCAGACAAATTTGTGACACCATCCAAAACTTGGGTGGTTAAAATGAAATTTAGGTAGTTCAAGATCTTAATGCTTGTAAATAAAGAAATACGTGAGACTTACGACGAGCTATCCAACTACTCATAGAATTAGATATGATTATAGCATCAATGTATTGGGGATAGATAACATTACTCTATATAGCAAGATGCAAAAAATAAAATAAAATTGTGCCCTCCCTCCCCAAGATTACAAGTAGAACCTTCCTCCAAAACCACCTAAACTAGAATAGAATCAACAAGTTTGATTCAATTTGATTCTAGATAAATTTATTTACTTTTGAGTCAATTCAGTTCGATTTGGTTCTATAAAAAATTGACCACTCTTGAGTCTCATAATAAAGATATTGTCTGGCTCTCGATTAACGATAGAATAAAGAATCAAACCGGAACCAACCAGTTTTGATTCGAGTCAATTCTTTCGCTGCACTTGAATTCTCATCGAGCCAAACTTAATCACTCCCACGTCTAACCTAAATGATTATAATATTGAATCGAACATAGCATGTTCATAGAGTTTCATATTATTTAGGCCCTGTTCGGGAGGACAACCAGTTTTGATTCGAGTCAATTCTTTCGCTGCACTTGAATTCTCATCGAGCCAAACTTAATCACTCCCACGTCTAACCTAAATGATTATAATATTGAATCGAACATAGCATGTTCATAGAGTTTCATATTATTTATTTTTACTTTCCCTCAAATAGTGGTTTGAATGTTGAAAGTGAAATTCAAAGCTTTACCCCTATTTTAGCCTTTCGGTGCTGAAATTCAATCACTTGCGAAAAATTTCACTCCTCAGTAAATCATGGTATGTGCCCCCAACATACTTTTGCTATACCAATATATGGCATAATTTCAAAACTCCCTTAAGAAAGAAAAAGCAGAATCCCATGAATTCAATTATTTTCTCTCAGTCTCTTTTTGACTTCCAAATCTGAAACCCCATTACACTTTCTTGAATCCTGTGTATTAATCTCTTGTATAAATTCCCCATTTGTCACTGTTAAGATCGTGGAAAAAATGGCAGTTGATGTTGTAAGTCCAAGAATCTCATTCTCTTATGATCTAAGAGAAGCAGATTTCGTGCCAGTAGAATCCCAAAACCCTCAATCAGATTTGGATTTCATTGATTTTGATTTCTCAATTGGTGATCATTTCTCGTTAGAACTTTCATCTGCTGATGAACTCTTTGCCAATGGCAAAATCCTTCCCGTTGAAGTCAAGAAATTCGAGCCCACCAAAGAAATTTATCAAGCAGAGCCAATTGAACCAAGTCCATCTGCACAGACTCGTAAATTTGTTCAAAATTCAAATGAAGACACGGTTACAAAGAAGAAGACTCTCATAGAATTTTTATCAAACACCTGTGATGCAGAAGAGAAGCCACCCACAAAACCATTTTGGCAGTGCAGAAGAAGCTACAGTTTAAATTCTGACAATGGATTGCTTCGATCTTTAAAGTTTCTATCGAGAAGCAATTCGACTGGTTCGACTCTGAATCCGAAGCCATCGGCATTGCCGAAAGTTATTCACAAGCAGAATTCACTGAAAGAGCCATCAACTAAGAACAAAAACCCATCTGCAAATTCATCACTTTTCAGCCAAAACTATTCCAATAATGCACCAAAAAGACCTCCATTGAACAAGAGTTCAAGCAGATCTTACGGCAATGGAGTTCACGTTAATCCAGTTTTGAACATTCCTCCAACTTACATTGCCAAAGGTACTGTAACTTTATTTGGTTTGGGTTCATTGTTCTGCAATGGAAAATCCAAAAAGAAGAAAAGATGATTCTCGATTTGTTCATCTTTTTGTACAGTTGTCGTCCTCAATGAGCTCTGTAAAATGTTGTACCGACTGAATTATTGTCTAAAGGAATCCTATGAGTGAAGTAAAAACAAAACGTGTTAGTATAATTGTAAAATAAAAAAAGTCAAAAACCTATGAGATTATTAGTCACTCAATTCAGATTAAATTTCATGATATCTATCGAACTTTATCGAATTCCATAATTTATTTTGCTTTATCACTCATTTGAAATCAATATTGGTAGACTCGGACTGAACTAGCTGATACTGATTCGATCAAATAAATCAGGAGCTAGTTCGTTTACAAGGTAAAAATAAAATATTTAGAAATTATTTAAATTGTTGTCAGTCGATTGTACGGTTGAATTACTCCCTATAAATTCCGTGCTCCAACTAAAAAAATTCAAACGAAGTGACTTAATTGAAATAAAATTTAGAATTCTCACAAAAATTGCAGCACGAACGAAAGCAAAGAGAAGACAGTGTGTCAAAAGTAAAGAGACAAAAGAACAAGGCATCCTTCTTTTAAGGTCATACCACGCTTTTATCTCTCTCTTTTAATTTTCTGTCGTTTGAAAAAATCAAAAGTAAGACTGTCACTTAAAAAAATATATTGATAATAAATTTAAGGCTTTTTTTGGGTTTTATAATGTTAATTAATTGAAAAAGTTTGTCTCGACTTTCCTCTAATTTAGGGAGTTTAACAATATCCAAGGAGATCAAGACAAGGATTGAAGCCTAAAGGAATTTTTAAATGTAAATCTATGATTAGGGGTTCCTCGATTATGAATCAATTCATCCGTATAAATATAATACAATGGACCTAAAAATTGAAGTGTAAAGCAATCGAACACTTAGAAATTCGGAAAATGCTACTTGTACACGTTAGTTTACCACTTGATTTACAGAATGTTGAGCTGACGAAGATTTCACACCATTTTGCACAAAAAACAAAGTTAAATCAGCTTAGGAAATCTAGTCAGCTCAACATCAGTAATCCTATATGTTGAAAAAAATTGTACAAGTGGCATTTTCCTATTATTATTGTTAGACCAAGCCAATCTGCGCTCGAGTTGGCTAACTGAATTTTTAAATGTAACTTATGATTACTATACTACGAATGTCACGAGTGGCCTGTTTTATGATAGTTATGAGCTTATATATTTGTAAGTTATTATCTTATATATTTCTAAATTATTGTGGGAAAAAAATGAGTTTGAACTTTCAAGAGGTATGAAACTAATGCTTATTACACATTTTTGAAGCGAGCAAGGTTTAAAATTTCAAAAATCAGATATTAATTAAATTTTATTTATAAAATAATTAATTAAAAATATATTTTATAAATTAAATACATCAAGTCACAATTCTATACAATCTGATCACAATTATTGAATTACTTGATCACAAATTATTTTTCAATAACAAATCAAAAATTTTATAAGTCACAAATTATTTCACAATCACAAATAAAAAATTTTATAGGTCACAATTTGTTCATCAGTCATAAATAAAAAAATTTACAGGTCACAATTTATTTATTAGTTACAAATCAAAAATTTTATAAATTACAAATTATCGGTCACAAATTAACAAATTTTTAAGCAACACATTATTTATTTGTCATAATTTATCTATTTCATTGGTCACATATTAACCAATTTATTAGTTACAATCAACCAAAAAATTTGTGACCACCACCTCCCACATCTTTTTGCAAGTAACGACATCATCATTAGAACAAAAGATGCAATGTTAAAGTTAGTGATCATTTTTATACTCACGAATATATGCTCCCGAACGAGGAGACTTTGACTGGGATTATTAAAGCCATTAGTTTGAAAAGAGACTTTTACAGAATCAACGATCAATCTGTTTCAACCTAGTAGTAAAAACATTGAATTATTGAAATGATAATCGATTAGTTTTTTCCCTGGTAGATCATTAATCCGATTTTAATTCAAGTCAAAACCAAACAATCAATATTAATCATATCTTTTATGGGTCCTACAATTTTTCAACTACACATGTCAAAAACTTCTACCACAATCTACTAAAAATCTAATTTTAATCCTATCAAACACCCTCTTAGTCCCAAATGTAGTCTTGATGTTAAAATTCGAGTAAGCTTTTTTAATATGTGCTTGCTCTATCTAATTTGGCCACCTCCGCCGTTGCCATTGCCATCACCATCACCACCATTTTCAACCATTACTCATTCACAGACCTATCAATAACAAACCATCACGGTCTCAACAAACCACTAGTACGAAAGCCAGTAGCAAACTACCACGATCTCATCAACAAACCACAAGTAACAAATCGTCATTTTCACCGCGATAGCATGTAAAGATTCGAGCAGATCTCACAGATCTACTTCGCAGCGCCATGCAACGCTCATGCGCAGTTGCGTGCCGTGGCATGCACCGGCATCATCATAGCCTAGTTGCGATTTGCACGCAGCGCCATCGCCCCTTTGCGTCGTGCTGTGATCTTGCACGTAGCTGTGTATAGTGGTCATCAGTTGATGAAGACGGTGTCACCAGTGTTGGTGTTCTGAAAGAGTAGATAGTGGAGAGAGAATAATTTGTGATGAATTAGGTTGAGTGGAGCGATATATGAGATATAGTATAATCGAGAGAAAAAGTGGATCTTTATTTATTAAATATGTTAAATAATTAATTATAACCTGAATTGTGCAAGATGAAACTTAAAATCTTGTTTATGAAATGCAAACTTAAAACAGCCCTAGATGTAATTTGCACACATATATTTCTTAGGCTAACCCTCTTTGACTGACAAGCCAATCTACTCGGAGGGTCTAGGCCTAACAATTACAGTGGCCCGAATTGTACCATACATGTATACATATATATTTTGTATTATTTCTTAAATTTTGCTACTTGTTTGAGGTTTTGAGTCAAGAAATCTTTTCTTGAAAATATTTTACATTTGTTATTATTAAATTTCAGACAATCATTTTGTTTGAATAAGAAATTTAACCTTGATGGGGGCAACTGGTGATAAGAGCCACAATTTTTGGTGATATACATTTTGTATTTGATTTTTAAACCTGTTTTAACATAATTATTAAAAAGAGGAAACAAAATAGCATGTTCGACAAGGACATCAAGTTGTAAAGAAATTATGTAGTTGATGAATATTACAATGAAAGTTCAATATTTCAAACAAAAAATATTGTTAGGTTATGACTTAAATTCCATGTGATTGGAATTGTAGTTCATGGAGGAAGTTTAAATAATGTTGGTTTGGAAGTCAGGTTTGATAAGAGATCAAATTTTATCATGAATTAGAAGTTTGATTGGTAAAATGACTTTGGAATGAATGAAAAACACGTTTGTAGTGATGGGATAGAGGTTGGACATCTAGGTGCCAGGTCACGGTGCTTAGGCGCTGGCAACACAATACCCAAACAGAAGTTGGCGCCTAGGTGCCAGATAGTAGTGCATAGGCGCCACCTGTTTGGGAGAAGTTGGTTTTGTATCGCGATTTTTGTATTCCGCTTCATTCAAAACACCCAAAATTGGGCTCGTGTATATATTTTACGTGATGTAGGCTCTTCATAGGCTCTAATAACAATTAGATCATTATTGTATACATTAAGAACTTGAGAAAATTGTTTAGATTTAAATTGAGATTGAGATTGTCAAATCTTGTCAAACAATTATAGTTTCTTAGTATTAAACCATCCTCATCTTCCACATAAATCTAGTGTTTTTGTGTGATCCATTATTTTTATATTGCTCATATTATTCTCATCTTTAATTATTCATTCTGGTTCTCAACAAATGGTATCGGAGTAATTCTGATATCTTAATTGTTTCTAACAAGTGGTATTAGAGGTAAAGGGTTTTTAGCAAGTTCTTGGGAGGTCCAGATTGGATATTAAAGTGAGGTTGAAATAATTTCAATTTTTTTAAGAATGGAAACAATGAAATTTGAGATTTCGCTTTTGGATCGCAACAGTAGATTTTCTTTGTGGCAGATCAAAATGCAAACGGTTCATGCTTAATTGGATCTTGATGATGTTTTGTTAGGGATGGATAGAACGCACGCAACACTGTGGAAGAAAAGTAACGTAAGGTTCGAAAAGTCCTATCACGAATACATTTTCATCTTTGTAATTAAAATTTTCAGGATGTGGTAAATGAGAAAAGTGTTGTTGGGTTGTTGAAATTGGAGTAGCTTTATATGTTAAAGAGTTTGAGTAGTAAGTTACACTTGAAACAGTGCTTGTATTCCCATCGCTTGACGGAAGGTTGAACTTGAGAAGATCATCTATCAGCGTTCAAAGAAATCGTCATTGATTTGGAGACCATGGAAGTCAAATACGATGAAAAGGATTTATGATTGATTTTGTTATGTTCATTGCCGCTTTCATATGTGATTTTTGGAGGTGCCATTCTTTATAGTTAGATATTCCTACTATTGACGAGGTATATGATGTGCTTTATTCCAAAGAGAAAATGAAACATTTGGTCGTCGGATTTGAGGCTGGTAGAGGGTCGTGTTATTCATGAGAGGAAGAGAAGTGGTCATAGAACGGGCAAAGTCAAGGATAGCAACAATGACAAAGTCTGTTGGTATTGCAACAATAAGGGGCACATGAAGAAGAATTGTTATAAGTGCCGAAACATGTTTGCTACTACAGATCAGAAGGAATAACCAGAAAGTTTCGATAATATAAATTTTGCAGAAGAAGACATCGATGTAGATCTTTTGGCAATTACTAATGGTAATCGCAAACTTGACGATGATTGGATTCTTGATTATGGGAAATAATGAGCTTTGTAAAATAATTGAGATTCGTAATGTCAAAATCAAGATGTTTGATGGGACGGTTAGAACACTTGATCATGTTCGACACGTTCTAAGTATAAACAAGAATCTAATCTCTTAGACTACTCTTGATTCAAAAGAGTACATGCATACCAGTGAAGGCGGAGTTTTGAAAGTTAGCAA